CACCCAAACACGTCGTTTTTGGGGGGGATGCTTCGGTTGCCCTCTGGTGGTTCTCCCTTAGTACCTCCCAAAATACCGGACGGCAAACAGAATGAGCTGTTCATGGCGTTTGGGGACCTAGTCTGGTTCTCCCTTCTACCACACAAAAAACCGGGGCAGACACCAACGAGCCGTTCGTGGCGCTTCGGATTTCGGAGTTGTCTTCGCCTCGGCCACCCATGGCGCCGGAGCGCTGGAAGAAGTGCTCCTGCTCCAGCCCGTGTGCACCTCCGGGCGCGTTTTACGTGGGACGGGGACACGAATCCCTGGGTGCGACCCCTGGTTGTGGGGAAAAAAATGGGACGCCCAATTCAGGCGACCATTTTTAAAGGGTCACGGAGACTCCAACCAATTTTCAGGATAACATGACCATGGGTCAAAATCCAAATCGTACTCCCAGGGAACATCCCAATCCAACCACTAAAATTGGTACTAAAATGGGTGGTGAATTCACCTACCCCAAAATGGTACCATTGGTTTTGGCCCACAGCCACATGGGTATGAGTCAAAACTACACCATCAGGGGACCGCATATTGTAGTCCATGTGTCCATTTACCAGGGCAAGCCATTTTGAGCACCTATTTTTGACCCACAGCCACATCTGTACTCAAAAAAATGGATCAAAGGATCTGTCATATTTAGCCTCCGCATATTGGAGCATCTCTCCCTCTCATGTGTCTGTCCTGTTATCCATAGAGAACCATGGGTTCAAACGTCGGAACCAATCCAAAATAGATTCTCTGATTCTGTCTCACATTTTGCCTACAAGACAGAAAATGGTTTTGCAGGAGATTCCAGGGAACGTGGGAGCAAAGGGAACCCAAGCTTCACCAAAAAGGAGTGCCCCAGGAAGAATCTGTCTGAGAAAGATCAAAAGGTAAAAAACATGTTCTTTCGATGGCAAAAACGCATGGGTGGTGTATTTCCCCCCAAAAAAAAGAGGAAATTTGTGGCATGCCGAAGTTGTGACTTTGGGTACGTATTGGACATTATTTTGGGGGTGGCCATCGGTGCCACGTGTAGCTGGTGTCTGCTCTGGTACAGTGGTTTGTAGTTTGGGTATCTATTTACAAGTCTCCTTTAGTTAAACCTGTTCGTGCGGTTCACGGTTAAATTCACCCGAACCACTCACTTAGTTGCCCAAGCACCCAAGTGCCAAATCGAGTCCAAAACTGGGCTTCCTCTTTGCCAGCCCCAAAGAAGGTACCATCCAAAACAGACACGCCCTGATCTGTCTACCACCCTGAGTCCCCCAGCCGGGTGCAGCCACAACCAGCGGAAACCGGCAGACATCGAGCCGAGCTGCGGACGGGCGGGCGTAATGTGAAAGTAGATGGAGTAACTACCCTGTGGACAAGATGACTGAACCAAACTGGGAACTACGGGCATGCGTCCCGTTCGCTGGATCCTTCTCTTTTCAGGCGCAAAAACACCACCCCATACCTTCGCCAATCCGGCCGGGGTCAACATTGGCACTGAGAGGGTGTCCCCAACCCTTAAGCGGAAGATTGGCCTGAAAGTACACCAAAGGAAATGACAGGAATTCTTGCCAGTCAATCCACGGTTGGCCTTCGAGGGAGCAAACCTGATTCTCCTTCGGAATGTGCCCCGGCCGACCATCTCAAGCAAATGTCGACCCATGATCAATAATCCCCCTGGCTCCAATTCAAAGCGGGGCGTTTTAGTGGGGCGTCCGTCTTCCAGGACCCCAAGGCCCCAACAAAAATGTGAGGGGTTATTTATCAGGGTTCAGCATTCACCGCACAAATCTTCTTTGGAGTCCTCTGCGCACACACACACACACAACTATAATTTCCCTACAAGAAGGCGACATGACAATACCTCTGCATCTGGAGATCATTCTTCAGTTCCAAGCACACCTGGCAAGCTGTCGAACATGTCTTGACCTCAGAAACTTCACGGCATATATCAGCATGCATCCATTTGGATTGGCTCCAAGAAGGCCAAACACACCCGTGCAGAAAGTTGATCAGGCTATACAAGGGATGGCATAGGCAAGAATACATTGGTATATCTACATACTTGCACACATAATTATCAGTATACTGCATTTGCTTTCGCTTGCGCTTCTTGTGACATAATTTCTGAGTCTACCGAGAACCAGAAGCCACTGGCTGGAAGGCGACCCTCTGGGGCCCAAGGCGGCGCCAGATTGCGAATACGGACCCGAAGCGCACCCTCGATGTAAGAAAACTGGACACAAGCAGGCAAAGACGCACCCACGCCGCAGCACAAGCTTGAACAAAGCAAACAAGCACACACACACACACACACAAGCACATAAACACAAGCATAATGTGCATGTGTGAGTGATGTCATGCCGGCAAAGAATCAATTGTCAACAAGGAGGACGAGCAGCTGGCCTGCACTTTCTGTTCTCCCAAAATAGCCGGTTTTTCTCGGTCGGCATTCTCTGCAAAAGGCATTGGCACACCGCATTAACAGATCACAGGCAGTGCCACGAACATGGTCAGCAAAATTAACAGCACATGGCCAAACAATTGTGCTTGAAGGAAACCAAAGGGAAAACCACAATTATTTGAGGGTCGCTAAATGGGTATGTGTCAACATTGGGAACCCCCCGTCGCTAAATAGGTATGTATCAAAATAAGGCCCCCCCCAAAAAAAAATGGTCGGTTTCCTTTTGGTGTCATTTTTACCCAAAATCACCCACCCCACATGGACCAAACATTTGGACCACGAAGCCATCTGGGCCAAACGTTCTCATGGGGAAACAAATCCCGGGCGGCCAGCTCTGACGTCGCAGAAACGCCTCGGGCGACAAGGCGAAAATACCCTTCATGCGCGACAGGGGGTCTGTCCTTTGGTAGGCAAACAAAAAACAAAGCAAAAACAGACAAACAAAACAAACAAATAAACATAACAAAAAAAAAACAAGCAAACAAACAAAACAAAAACACTGGCAGGTGGGCAGGCAAGCAAGCAAACAATATGGACTTAAAGATAGAGAAAATGAAAGGAAATAAAGGAAACAACAGGAAAGCAAACAAACAACCAAGCAACCCAGTCAATGTGTGCGGCCTGCATGGACGTCATGTGGTCATGTCCGTTTCTTGGGCACGCCGATGTGGCGAGCAGGCCGAAGAAATTGTCCAGTCAGAAGCACATTAACCCTCAACGAGCAAGTCATCTGGGCAAACTAATGCCCGGGTAAAGGACCTCCATAGAGTGAACTCGCTTTACTATCAGGAGAGCTCGTTGCATCTGCCCACAAGCATCAGATAAGAAACCAAGTTCTGAGAACCTTTGTGGGGGGTTTGTGGGGCGTTCTACTGCCTGTCTCCGACAGCTAACCGTGCCATTTGCGCAAAGAAAAAGGAATTAAAAACACATCACTTAAGGTTTGGCCAAACCATATGCCAGCGTTAGATCACCAAAAGACTTGGGGTACTGTTTCCCAAGAGACACCAGCCACGGGCCAACCACACACCAAGCTACGCGCAGGCAAAGCGGCAGAAATTGTGATCAGAAGTTGTCATGCGGGGCGTGCATTCCAAAGCATGGCCCACTAAAAGTGAGAAGTGGCCATCCAAAAGGGGCGGGGTTGCGGGGTCCTCATTCACCTGAATACCACTTCTGTTTGACCCCTAAAAACACGCCCGAAAGGCACAAACCCTGTGCAATACTCGAGTCAAACCAAACCCCAGATCATCTCCTACTGCTGAAAACTGGACTGAGGGAAGGACCAACACTTGTCCCATTATCACCTGCTTAGCACTGAGCAATTTCCCTTCCCTCCCGAGCCGCCCACCTCGAGACGAGGGCTTCTCCGCCCACATGGTCGGGCAGGAAAAAACACGCCCTGGGGCACTTACCCCAGCCTCCTACTGGAGCCGAGAGATGCACAACGTGCGATGGGATTCGTGAAGTTCGGGATGCTTGCTCAGAGAAAACTTGTGCAAAACCAAGTCATCCAAGGTTCTGAGAACCACCCACGCCCACCCACCCACCCACTCCCCACAGTAAGAACCATTTCAGAACACAGGACGTCTCTGCAAGTATGCTCCAGCAAAGCTAGCTGGCGGAAGTTTCTGAAGGGGTGACAGGCCTACAGGAGGAGGAGAAAGAAAACAATTTCATGGTTTCGAGACAGCCAAGCAAGCAAAGAGCAACCCACCAAGTTGGCGAGCTCTTCTACTAGTTCCACACTCTACGCTGTTGCACTTGTGGGCTGCTGGCACTGCTGGCACTGGTGCTGCACTCTGCGCTGGCAGAAGAACTGGCTGACGGACAGGCAAGACTTTGCGCAGCTGCATGCCTGGCACTCTGCCGCCTCCAACGCCACGTAGGCGGACGGCGAAAGGAGGCCACGTTGTCCTTGAAAGTCCTGGGCTGCGCATAGGGCTGCGCATAGGGGCCCGCGCCATGCCAGTGCTCGTGGGGCGAAAAGCCGTGGCGCAGCCAGCGGGCGGGGATGTCAGAGCCGAATCTGCGGCGGCGAACGTTGGCGATCAATACAACGCGACAGCTTGCCCCGTTGACTGCGTGAGTTTATCATGTTCTCAAGGCACGCAAAGTTCTTGGGCTTCCCAGACACAATGCTGTAAATTTGCCGCTCACCGCCGCCCTCAGCGCCACAATCTGGCCATGCGCAATAGCCCCACGCAGGCTGACGCAAAGAGGGACCTCTGCTTCCGCCAGCCGCTTGACAGAGCCAGCAGAGACCGAGCCGGATGAAGACCATCACGTCCAACTCCCCTGCGCGAGATTTCAACACAAAACCCTAGGCGACTGTTCGAGCTCGGAACAAATCCGCACTTGGGGGCGATGGCAGTCACTTGCCTCTCCATGATGGCGCCACTCTCTGTGTCATGGGTGTCTCGTAGATAAACAGTTTTTGCGAAAGCTGCGTTGCTGTCTCGCGGCGCCAACCCAAAAGACAAAAAAGATTAGCAGCTGGGCCCCCTTGGCACAAGGGCTGCGATCGAAGCACTGCTGGCTTGTGCGGCAGCAAGTTCAAATGTGGTAGCCTCCCCCAATAACGCATGCCACGGGCGAACCGGCCGGCCAAACACTTGCAGGAGTGGGCGCTCATGCCGCGGAATGTGGAGAAGCAAGGCCTCGCTGCGAGTGGTGGTGGCGACAAAGCCGGCCACCAGGCCATGGTTCAGTTCAATTTCAAGCTCCAGTTTCGCTCCCGATGCTGGGTTTCACCGACCATGACCACAAGACCTTCGCCCCTCTGCAGACTCTCGAGCAAATTTAAAGACTCGAAAAGCGCCAGCGCCTCCAGTGCGAGGTAAAGCCTGGCCGCGCCAGCACCCCAGGAGTCACCAATGTGCTTGCCAGGAGCAGCAGCACAACGGGCACAGCGCCACTTGCTTTCGCATGAAGCAGCGCATGGGGGGGGTGTGTGGCAGCAATCTTAAACGTATTCTTCTAAAAAGAAGTAGATTTGACACAGGAACTTCTCTCATTGAGGACCCCAGCAGTAGGGAGACCTCTCGATGGTTCGAAATTAACAGCCAGCAGTCAAATCGGCATTTGCCCAAACCGTTGCTCTCTAAGTCTCCATGTCACGCAGGCAGTTTAGCTCTCACCTCCAGCACGTTTTCACGAGTATATCCGCCGACAACAGACGGCGTGTTGAACGCAAAAAATGCTCCTTACCTCTTTACCTGTTACCCCTCCCCTAACCCCCGGGGGGGGGGGTCCACGTACCACGCGGTGATTCGAAGACGCTTCACTAAATCTGTTCATTGTGCGGGCTTGCGCAGCCAGCATCACCTGCATCATCCGCATCAGCGCCTGCCAAGGATGCGGATGATGCAAGTGATGCTGGGGATGTTGCCCATGCTGGCGAAGGAAATGAAGGGGGGAAAGGGGGAAAGGATCTCAACAGGGAAAGGGGGGGAAAGATCTCAGGGAGGAAAGGGAGAAGATCTGGGGAAAAAATGCCTTAGAGGGAAAGGGGGGAAAAGATCTTTGGGAGGAAAAGGGAAATCTTTCTCGGGGGGAACAGGCCCTACGGGGCAATGGGGGGACAGGATCTCAAACGGGAAAGGGGGAAAAAGACTTTGGGAAGAGAAGGGTGGAGATCTTGGGGGGAAAAGGCTTTAGGGGGGAAACGGGGGAAAGGATCTTAAGCGGGAAAGGGGGGAAAAGATCTTAGGGAGGCAAAGGGAGACGAACTCAGGGTGCGAAAAGGCCTTAGGGGGGACAGGGGGGAAAGGATCTCAATAAAGAAAGGTGGGAAAAGCTCTTAGGGAGGAAAAGGGAGAAGATCTCAGGGGGAAAAGACCTTAGGGGGGAAAGGGGGGAAAGGATCTCAACAGGGAATGGCGGGAAAACATCTTAGGGAGGAAAAAGGAGGAAAAGGGATATGATCTCAGGGGGGAAAAAGGGCTTGGGGGGGAAAGGGGGGGAAAGGGGGGGAAAGGATCGAAAAGCGAGAAGATCTCAGGGGGGGAAACGGCCTTAAGATCTCAGGGGGGGGGAAAGGCCTTAGGGGGAAAGGGGGAAAGGAGCTCAACACGGAACGGGGGCAAATGATCTTAGGGAGGAAAAGGGAGAAGATCTGAAAGGGCCTTCGGGGGGAAGGGGGGGGAAAGGATCTCAACAGGGACAGGGAGAAAAGATACTAGGGAGGCAAAGGGAGAAGATCACGAGGGGAAAGGGGGAAAGGATCTCAACCGGGGGAAAAGATCTTGGGGAGGCAAAGGGAGAAGGCCTTAGGGGGGAAAGGGGGGAAAGGTTCTCAACAAGGAAAGGGGGGAAAACATCTTAGGGAGGAGAAGGGAGAAGATCTTGGGGGGAAAAGGCCTTAGGGGGGAAAGGGGGGGAAAGGATTTAAACAAGGAAAGTGGGGAGAAAAAAAGGCCTTAGGGGGGAAAGGGGGGAAAGGCTCTCAACAGGGAAAGGGGGGAAAACATCTTAGGGAGGAGAAGGGAGAAGATCTTGGGGGGAACAGGCCTTAGGGGGGAAAGGGGGGGAAAGGATCTCAACAAGGAAAGTGGGGAGAAAAAAAGGCCTTAGGGGGGAAAGGGGGGAAAGGCTCTCAACAGGGAAAGGTGGCAAAAGATCTTAGGGGAGGAAAAGGGAGAAGATCTCAAGGGAAAAGGACTTAGGGAGGAAAGGGGGGGAAAGATCTTTGGGAGGAAAAGGGAGAAGAACTGAGGGTGGGAAAAGGCCTTAGAAGGAAAAGGGGGGAAATAAATGATCTCAACAGGGAACTGGGGGGGGGGGGAAGATCTTAGGGAGGAAAGGCAGAAGATCTGGGGCAAAAAGGCCTTAGGGGGGAAAGGGGAGAAATGATCTCAACAGGGAAAGGGGTGGAAAAGATCTTAGGGAGGAAAGGGAGAAGATCTGGGGAAAAAAGGCCAACAGGGAAAGGGGGGAAAAGATCTTAGGAAGGAAAAGGGGGAAGCTCTCAGGGGGGGGAAGGCCTTGGGAGGGAAAGGGGAAAAAAGATCTCAACAGGGAAAGGGTGGGAAAGATCTTAGGGAGGAAAGGGGGGGGGAAGATCTTAGGGAGGAAAGGGGGGGAAGATCTTAGGGAGGAAAGGGAGAAGATCTGGGAGAAAAGGACTTAGGGGGGAAAGCCCAACAGGGAAAGGGGGGAAAAGATCTTAGGAAGGAAAAGGGAGAAGCTCTCAGGTGGGGGAAAGGCCTTAGGGGGGAAAGGGGGAAAAGGATCTCAGCAGGGAAAGGGGGGGGGGAAAGATCTTAGGGAGGGAGAAGATCTGGGGACAAAGGCCTTAGGGGGGAAAGGGGAGAAATGATCTCAACAGGGAAAGGGGTGGAAAAGATCTTAGGGAGGAAAGGGAGAAGATCTGCGGGAAAAAAGGCCAACAGGGAAAGGGGGGAAAGATCTAAGGAAGGAAAAGGGAGAAGCTCTCAGGGGGGAAAGGCCTTAGGCGGAAAGGGTGGGAAGGATCTCAACAGGGAAAGGGGGGAAACAATCTTAGGAAGGAAAAGGGAGAAGATCTGAAAAGGCCTTAAAGGGAAGGGGGGAAAGGATCTCAACGGGGAAAGGGGGCAAAGGATCTTAAGGAGGAATAGGGAGAAGATCTCAGCGGGGGGAAAGGCCTTAGGAAGGAAAGGAGGGAAAGGATGTCAACAGGGAAAGGGGGGGAAAGATCTCAGTGAGGAAAGGGAAAAACTCCCAGGCAGGGAAAAGGCCTTAGGGGGGAAAGGGGGAAAGGATCTCAACAGGGAAAGGGGGCAAAGGATCTTAGGGAGGAAAAGGGAGAAGATCTGAAAAGGCCTTCGGGGGAAGAGGGGGAAAGGAGCTCAACAGGGAAAGGTGGGAGAAGATCCTAGGGAGGAAAAGGGAGAAGATCTCGAGGGAAAGGGGGAAAGGATCTCAACCAAGGGAAAAGATCTTGGGGAGGACAAGGGAGAAGATCTCAGGGGGGGAAAGGCCTTAGGGGGGAAAGGGGGGAAAGGATCTCAACAGCGAAAGGGGGCAAAGGATCTTAGGGAGGAAAAGGGAGAAGATCTTGGGGGGGGAAACGCCTTAGGGGGGAAAGGGCGGGAAAGGATCTCAACAAGGAAAGGGGGGAAAAGATCCTAGGAAGGAAAAGGGGGAAGATCGCGGGGGGAAAAAAAGCCTTAGGGGGGAAGGAGGGAAAGGATCTCAACAGGGAGAGGGGGGAAAACATCGTAGGGAGGAAAAGGGAAAAACTCGGAGGGAGAAAGGGCCTTAGGGGGGGAAAGGGGGAATGGATCTCAACAGGGAAAGGTGGCAAAAGATCTTAGGGAGGAAAAGGGAGAAGATCTCAGGGGGGGAAAGGCCTTAGGGGGGAAACGGGGGAAAGGATCTGAGCAGGGAAAGGAAGGGAAAGATCTTAGGGAGGAAAGGGGGAAGATCTGGGGGCAAAGGTCTTAGGGGGGAAAGGGGAGAAATGATCTCAACAGGGAAAGGGGTGGAAAAGATCTTAGGGAGGAAAGGGAGAAGATCTGGGGGAAAAAAGGCCAACAGGGAAAGGGGGGAAAGATCTAAGGAAGGAAAAGGCAGAAGCTCTCAGGGGGGGAAAGGCCTCAGGCGGGAAAGGGTGGGGAGGATCTCAACAGGGAAAGGGGGGAAACAATCTTAAGAAGGAAAAGGGGGAAGATCTGGAAAGGCCTTAAAGGGAAGGGGGGAAAGGATCTCAACGGGGAAAGGGGGGCAAAGGATCTTAAGGAGGAATAGGGAGAAGATCTCAGTGGGGGGAAAGGCCTTAGGAAGGAAAGGAGGGAAAGGATGTCAACAGGGAAAGGGGAGAAAAGATCTCAGTGAGGAAAGGGAGAAGATCCCAGGCAGGGAAAAGGCCTTAGGGGGGAAAGGGGGAAAGGATCTCAACAGGGAAAGGGGGCAAAGGATCTTCGGGAGGAACAGGGAGAAGATCTGAAAAGGCCTTAGGGGGAAAAGGGGGAAAGGAGCTCAACAGGGAAAGGTGGGAGAAGATCCTAGGGAGGAAAAGGGAGAAGATCTCGAGGGAAAGGGGGAAAGGATCTCAACCAAGGGAAAAGATCTTGGGGAGGACAAGGGAGAAGATCTCAGGGGGGGAAAGGCCTTAGGGGGGAAAGGGGGGAAAGGATCTCAACAGGGAAAGGGGGCAAAGGATCTTAGGGAGGAAAAGGGAGAAGATCTCAGGGGGGGAAAGGCCTTAGGGGGGGAAAGGGTGGAAAGGATCTCAACAAGGAAAGGGGGGAAAAGATCTTAGGAAGGAAAAGGGGGAAGATCGCGGGTGGAAAAACGGCCTTAGGGGGGAAAGGAGGGAAAGGATCTCAACAGGGAGAGGGGGGAAAATATCGTAGGGAGGAAAAGGGAAAAACTCAGAGGGAGAAAGGGCCTTAGGGGGGGAAAGGGGGAATGGATCTCAACAGGGAAAGGTGGCAAAAGATCTTAGGGAGGAAAAGGGAGAAGATCTCAGGGGGGGAAAGGCCTTAGGGGGGAAAGGGGGGAAAGGATCTGAGCAGGGAAAGGGGGGGAAAGATCTTAGGGAGGAAAGAGAGAAGATCTGGGGGCAAAGGCTTAGGGGGGAAAGGGGAGAAATGATCTCAACAGGGAAAGGGGTGGAAAAGATCTTAGGGAGGAAAGGGAGAAGATCTGGGGGAAAAAAGGCCAACAGGGAAAGGGGGGAAAGATCTAAGGAAGGAAAAGGGAGAAGATCTGGAAAGGCCTTAAAGGGAAGGGGGGAAAGGATCTCAACAGGGAAAGGGGTCAAAGGATCTTAAGGAGGAATAGGGAGAAGATCTCAGCGGGAGGAAAGGCCGTAGGGGGGAAAGGGCGGAAAGGATTCCAACAGGGAAAGGGGAGTGAAAGATCTCAGGGAGGAAAGGGAAAAGATCCCAGGGAGGAAAAGGCCGTAGGGGGGAAAGTGGGGGAAAGGGAGGAAAAGGGAGAAGATCTCAGGGGGGAAAAGGCCTTAGGGGGGAAAGGGGGGAAAGGATCTCAACAGGGAGAGGGGGAAAACATCTTAGGGAGGAAAAGGGAAAAGAACAGAGGGAGAAAAGGCCTTAGGGCGGAAAGGGGGAATGGATCTCAACAAAGAAAGGGGGGCAAAAATCTCAGAGGGGAAGGGGGCAAGGGGACAATTCCAAAGGGACGCAAATAAGAAAGCAGGCCTGTAATGTCGGCGGCCTGAGCCGGAGGCACTAAAATATAGTTTGAGCCGCTGCTGGTTTCATAAGCTTGGCCTAAAGTACGCGCGATGACGCAAAGGCTTACATACGATATCATGTTCAGCATCATAGACCCCCACGCCACCCCCCAAAGAAAGGCTAGACAACCAGGAAACTGAACAGTGAGAAAACCAGACAACCCAGACACCACCAGACCAACGGGGCTACAAGACAATACAAATACAGAAAATCTTTCAAACATCTAGTGTTGCTTGTTAAACACCGAAAACTGGCAAACAAGAAAAGCATAGCTCTCGAAAACAACAAGGTTTAAATCAAACTGACCAACGACCGCCACAACAAGAAAAGCGAACCAGAAAACACCGAAAATCAGAAAACCGCGAGAACCAGAAACTAAGAAACACAGAAAGCCCTCAAATCAAGAAAGCTAAGAACACCAGAAAACCGAGATCATTAAGAAAACCAGAAAAATAGAAAACGAAAAGAACTAGAGAATGCGAGAAAACTAGAAAACAAAAGAAGCGACAGAAGACCAAGCAACCAGAAAACCAAACAAAAAAAACGAAAACCAGGAAACTCAGAAAACCCAGATAACAAGAAAACTAGAAACTGCTAAGACCCAAGAAAACAAGAAACCAGAACACCAGCAAGACCCAAGACAAACAAGGGAAACCGGAAAATCAGAATCAGAAGCCAAGAAAACCAAGCAAATCCATAAAACCGAGAAAACCGAGAAAACCAAGAACACCAGAAAACAAGAAACCCAAGAAAACTAGAAAAACATAAAACGCAAGAAAACAGGAAACCCAGAAAACCAACAACACCCAAGACAAACAAGGAAGAGAAGAACCCCCCCCAAAAAAAAAAAAAACAACAACAATCTAGCCAACATCAAACATCCCCAGAGAGAACCACCACGCACACAAACTCCAGCGTTTCAAAACGATGATAACTCCGTGATCCAAATTGATGATGACTCCGCTCGCCAAACTGATTGCACCTTCGCGTTCCAAAGCGATGCACTTTCACCACCCACCCACCCACCCACCCACGCACTCACTCACTCACTCACCCACTCACGCACCCACCCACGCACCCACCCACCCACCCACCCACCCACCCACCAAAGGTTGAACCCAATCAAAACCGAAACCATCCTTCGGCGATGAACTTCAATCACCTGCCTAAGTGGACATGATGCCAATCACATACCACCCGGCAATTTGGCCAGGTCCCCTGAACTCGAACCAACCTTCCCCAAAAAGGCGTTCGTCTGGGAAGTACTCTGCAGGAGTATCCAGGAACTCCACACTGAACCCCCTCCAAATGCAGGTTCCCGACGCAGGTTCCCGAGCCAAGCACGTCAAGCTTGCAATCAGCAACCAATGGGTAACAGGAGGTATGTACTTCCACCCTTTGACAAGAAAAAAAGGCTTGGTCATGAAGCAGTGTTCAAGCGTGGTTTACCCTCACTGGAAGCAGGGTTCAAACATTTCCAGTGGGTCAAGCGCCACATCAAACAAGGAACTCTAGTGACAAACAGGGTGCGCAGGCGCTTTAAATCGATTCTGCCATTCAACGTGGAACCTCCGACCTATTTGCAACGCTAGTTTGGGACTGCAGCAGTTGGTTTTCATGTAGGGCCAGCAGCTCGATGTTTGCAGCCCCGAGCGTGCAGCTGTGCGCCTTTGTCTATGTTTTCAGCTTCCATCGCTGCGGGCTCCCACGGAGACGAGCACTGAGCGGAAAAACGGGCACTGCAGGCGAAAACTACGGCGAACAATCGCGACGACTGACCTCCAGGGCAACCTGATAAAGCTGCCTTCTGCTTTATGCTGTCATCTGGTTGAACATGAGGCCGCTGGACCCCCAAAACTGGCATTTCCACAACATTTCCCCTTATGGTTCCCCTTACCCCCCAAAGGATTCGCTCCAGACGACACTGATACCAACCCCGAGCTTCAGTCCGCGACTCTTAGCCCAGGCCGAAAACTGCGAAAACCGCCGAGCTCCAGACAAGGTGTCTCCTGCCCACATGCTGTAAAGGAATGTTTGGGTTTGTCTCAAGATTGAGGTTCCCCCCGGATTTGTCTTCATGATAGGTGTCGCTTTCCCTTTTAAACCAAGGTGAAAAGGGTACCAACAGGCACACGCCAGGGTTTCCCTCATGCCCCTTCTTAGGGGCTTGACAAATCATACCCGTCACCTTAAAGACACACCCAAGCTTCGAGACAGCCACTCACACAGGAACCCCCCCCTGTGTGGCCGTGTTCAAAAATAATAGGCAGCCTTTTTCAACGGCTTTCGAAGGAAAATCGGAAGGAAAGCCGCCCGGGCGTATAACTGGCATGATCAACCAGGTTCAGTCATCACGCCAATGGACAAAGAAGTTAGAGAAGTTGCAGAGGTTAGAGGTTGGAGGAGGTAGAGGCTAAAAGAGTGAGAGGTTAGAGTACGAAGTTGCAGAAGTTAGAGGTTCGAAGTAGAGGCTAGACGAGTTGGAGCTTAGAGTTAGAGGTTGAAGTTAGAGGTTAGATTTTAGAGTTAGGGGCTTAGAGAAGTGAGTTGGAAATGGGGTTCAGAGCCTGCAAGGGGTGTGCGGTTTGCGCCGTACAGCAATGGCTCACCTTGTCAGGCTCTGAAGCGAGGTAAATTCATATTTGGGGTGGCTCGTTTGCTTTTAGGGAACCCCGGAATGTGGGTTGGTTCAAAGAAGCCACCCCTTACCCAAAAAAAGTTTCCGGATAAAACCGGGTTGAAAACATGAGCTTCAACGGCCGGTTTCGGGGTATGGTACTTGGAATCATCGCATAAGGCGACCAAGGTGGATTTGGGTGATTTCTGAGCGTCTTGAGACAAGGTCACAATTTCAGCTTTCGGGGCTGTTAGTTTTTTGTTGTTTTTCTCAAATCGCAAACTGTGAGTTGGGTGACGTTGGCCTTGTAGCTTGTGGAGGTTGCTTCATGTTTAGAGGCTTTCAACAGTGAGCGCTCAGCCCTGCAGAAGCCTTTAAAGTCCCATTTGGTGAAGAACATTTGTTATTTTCCGCTGTTGCTTTTAAAAGGAATCTGTTTTTGGCTCGCCCTTTGAAGCGCATCAAACAACCTATGCGAGTTCAGGGCCAATCCATGAGTAATCGGAAAAAAAAACACAAATTAGCAAGTAATAACGCGATTTGACATGGAACCATCCTGTTGATATTTGCATGGACAAAGAGTGCCCGGGGTCTTGTCATCAAGTATGATTTTGTGACTTGTTTCGAATCTTTCATTTTGAAATTATAATGGAAAAAGTGTATTGATCAGCGACATGGCAGTGTATATGACACCTGTACGCTTAGACTGAGCGTGAGAGTAGATGAAAGTTGCATTGACATACTGTTTGATGCATATATATATATATATATGTCAGTATTCATGTGTCATGCGCCGGGGTTGATGAAAGCAAGCTTGGCGCATTCAATCGAGGGTAGGGGATCTCCCTGGAAGTTGAAGAAAAATGGCAAGACACGTGTCTCCCTATTCCAAACAATGATTCCCGAGAAACAGTGGAACCCCGCAGTTGGAGTTGATGATGCGTTTCGTTTCGGCCCTGAGCCTGGGAAGAAAAAGGAACTGGTGCCACAGAACTGGGCGCGGGCGTCAAAAAAGAAGAAAACAAACAGCGTCATTTCCTTAAAGGGAACCACCTCGTATTCCAGATTTCCACTTGAAGTCAACACTTGGCACGGCTTAGATAAGGGCTTCTGTGGCCATGGATCAAAAGCCCGTACCCCCAGTGAACATCCCAATCCCCGCTAAAATAAGTTCTAAAATGGGTTGTGAATTTACCCCAAAATTGGTTTTGACAACCACAGCCATGTGGGCTCCCTCCCCTCCCCCTCCCCTCCAGCCACGTCCTTCAGCGCGACGGCTCAAGTCTCGAAGCTCGGCACGCGCTCAGCGCCCCGCGGACCCAGGCGGCCCTCCTCCTAAGCGAGGAGATGGGTGGCGGAGATGTTTTAGCTAGGTCCAGTAGAGGACCAACCACACCAGTAGTGGTACCCAGATGTTTTAACAAGACACCAGATCGCTCCCCTCTCTCCCATCCTCGGTCCTCCAGTAGAGAGGTTAGAATAAGTTGGTACCCGATTTTTCTTACCGTAAGAACCCCTCAGTGGACACACTGTTTGGGGAAAAACACCCTACCCAGATGAGGGTACCCGATTTTTTTATTTATTTGCTTTTAAATATGAAGTCTATTTTAGTAGGGGAACCCTCCCCCAAAAGAAGGGTAAAAGAGCACTACTGGGGGACCTAGTTGGGGACCCAAAACGGTGGACATCGCTTCGGGAATTCCTGTCCACCTCATTTCGAGATTCCCTATTACACTCTTCCACAACCAATTGTGCTCTTGTGAGGGTGCCGGTTTACGTCACAGAAGGCAGAAGCCTGCCATTTTGGTGGTGCAAGGTTTTGACATGGTCCGTAAGGGTATTTGTTGGGGATGTCCGGGGAGATTGATCAAGGTCGGCATTACTTGTCACTAGGATTCACGAGGCTCTGATTTCTACAGTTCACCAACCTATTCAAACTCACTAGCGGACCTGCCTGGGTGAGCTCGCTTTACCCGGCCAGCTTGCCATGACTAGTGCAGCTTTCAGGCCCCATTATCTTACCACTGTCAAAGTCATCTCCCAAGCAATAGGTTAGAGGGAAACACCCCCAGTTGCTGGCTTTGATAACCCAACAAAATAGTCAAAATAATGACCCCAGGCTTTCTCGAGATATTGCAAGAAGCGAACAACAGAAACCAAGCCAACTCACGCCCATCCGCGGTTGGCTTGCGGGATCCGCCACTCGCCCTCCGGCTCGCGGCTCGCGGCTACCCCGCCTTCTTGTCGTATTGCTCATAGGTCTGCCCCATGGCCAAGCCAGCGCTGTCCTGACAGCGCTAAAAAAATGGCGGCTGCGGCCCTGCGCCTTTGTTCTGCGGCATGCGGGGGTTCTAATCATTTGGTATCCGCCTTCGTGACTGCTTCAAGGAAAGGACAAATCATCACAGAAAACAAAGGAGGCTCCCACCAGCAGGAAACTCTGGTGCCTGGTTCGAAGAATGGGAAATGTTTGGAAGTGCCGTTGATATCTTCCCTGCTGAGAACTAACTTGGCGGACACCAAGTGGCCGAGAAAAACGTAGGCCGAAACGCAACGGTTGCAAATGTGCCAATCGCCAGGCTGAGAGCGAGCGACTCGGGTGAGGGCGATTTTCCCCCCAAGGGCAGCAAAGTCGCTTGACTGCTTCTCTGCTCACATTTGGTTGGCAGTTGAAATGCACTCAACACTTCTGCAAATCCTCACGCTGAGATACATCTTAGTCTCGGCACGGGCAGTTTTTGGTGGCTTGTGGGTCGACCTGCCAGTGGGGCACCTCTCAAGGGCCGCAACCCAAAACTCGCCATGGGCAGCTCGCCATTTGTTCCAGGCTAAGGTCCCTGCTTTTGTCTAAGACCCACCCCCAGCCCCCCCCCGGCCCCCCCGCCCAACCTGTTCATCTGACCTTTTTCACCTTTTGGTCACCGGGTCCAAAAAGGTCGGTACAATAGGGGACCGTTCAGCGAGGGTGACTACTTAAAGGCACAATATAAAAGGCAGATTGATTAAGCACATGCTTCTCTCATGATCATGACAAGATATGGCCCTTGAATCACCAACAGGCACAAACAAGGGAAGTGGGCGCCCCATCGCTTCCTCCTTGCAACATTGAGGGAATCAACTACTGGGTGTTGCCAATGTGGCAATGTGGCACGGCTAGCGGCTAGAAATGAGCTTGATTTGATATCATTGAAACTCTAGAGCTGGCACATGCAACTTTCAGAATTTGCTGTGAACTGCACCCCGCTGCAAACAAACACGGAACCTGAAACAGGGGTGTCCAAACGGGGCAGCTTCCGCCTTCAAAACTACCCCTCCCAAAAGGAGACGTCCTTTCACGTAGAACTCCGTTCGCAGCCCCCAGGTCGGCGTGGCTCCGCTGCGTCCCGTCCGTCCTGCTCTTCGCCGGGCAGGAGCTGCTGGAGAACACCATAGGTGGCCGCCTGATGGAAGAAATGGAAAGGTGTCCTTTGTGGGTGTGTCTTATTTTAGGGCCCCCCCCACAATGGTGGATTTTTCCCTGAGGTGTCCTTTTGGCACCACCAAAACAAGGGGTGCCATCAAAAAAGACAGGCCCATATTTCCCTCTTCAACACCCCTGCTCAGCACCTAAAATCCGCGAAGAGAAATGTGTAGGGAACCCTGTTGGCACCAGGTTTTGGGTGTCGATTTTGGGGGTCGCCCTCCTTGGGATGTCTACCAAAAACAAAGGGAGCGCATCCTTTCGAAGATGCAGCGCCTGGGGTGTTGAAATGGAAACAAAAGGGAGACCAAGTAGAACCTGTGTACAACTCTTCACCCAAAGAATTGGGGAATCCGGGTGTTCGACCCTTCAAGCCTGTCCAGGTGGTCTCCTGGTTCCAACCCACCATTATTTGCCCCACGCTTACCTGAAAACAGGTGCAAAGAACAGGCCGGGGTCAAGAAAACAAGCAGGGAGACACGTATTTGTTTCTGTGGGGGGGAAGTTGTAAAGGTAAAATGTCCATTTCATAGCCACCATTGCGTCTCGTGAAAGGCGAAGTAGGTGACATGGTGCTACTGAGGATTTACAACAGTTTGAGAAGGTGTTATCATGTTTGAGAGTATTGTTGTAAGCATTAATTACAAGTGAAATTAGTGTATTCAAAACTGTTGGGGATGATGCTTTCATGCTTCCTCGCTTTCAAAGGGGTGTCCAACACAATCACACAACCACACAGACACAGAGACAGAGAGCCACAGACACGGACACACAAAGACACACAGAGCCACACACAAACGCACAGAGCCGTACAGAGACATACAGAGACACAAACACACACACAGAGACAGACACGCACGCAGAGACACAGACAGTCAGACACACAGAGACACGCGCACAGACACACACTGAATGAAGGATCGTTTGGAGAACCGTACTCGTGTCCCATAAGAGATGAAGTTGAAGTTGAAGTCAAAGTTGAAAGGTCCTGAGTGTTGCAGATCTGTCCTGCGTCGGGGGAAGGAAGGAGAAAGAGTCACTGATGGCGCCAAAGTCACGAAGTAGTCTGGGCCGCAAGGTCGACATGATTCACTGAGACTGCGAAAAAAGAACCACCGTCATCAAGGTTCCATTTGTCCAAGCACACAGCTTGATCGCACAGTGCATCATGAAACCGGTCAGCAAACAGCCTGGGAAAGCTAAGCGACAATTGCAGGTACAAGATGTTGCGTCCAACATCTCATCCACCTGGTTTCCGTAGCTTCGTCGGAAATCAGGCGCCGTGCCCCGTGCAAAGGAGAAGTGCGCCCACCAGTCTCCCCTGGCCGCCGAGCTGAATGGAAAGTTGGCAACTAAGCAAAGGCAACATATTGCCAGAATGCGATCGACCAAAAACCTGCCAGTCCGCGCTATGAAACGGTTGATGAACCTGTCCACATCCACTTTCTCAGCTGCCGTGTCTTGAACTCACAGGTTCTGGGTAACTCTACCGGTAAGGCGGCACTTAGACACAGTGGGGACCCCGTTTCCGAAGCCAAAGGACCATCAACTCCAACCTACTTAGAAACATTGGTCCGGGCACAGGTTCACAAAGGTGCCCAGAAGCAACCCTCAAGTTTACCCCAATAACTTGCGTGAGTGAAGCGCTTTTGGAGGCAACAAGTTTTTTTTCACGTGTCTTCTTGACAATGGAACGCAATAAGTGCTTTTTTAAAGACATGTGAGGTCGCCACATGAGACAAAAAGCCTGGCAAGCACTTCTCGCTTTCTAGTGATCGAAGCAGTACGTGGAGAATGAACACCAGTTGAATGGAGCGATTGGCGAAAACCCACAAGCGTCCCCATCAGATTCTACCCTCAACTAGAATACTTAGCCACGCGATGCGACAACCATCCCCAGAATTCATGTTCCCAGAGAACAGTAAGGTTGCCTGCGTTTTTGTGAAGAATTCGTGTAGCAACGCAAAAAAGAATGACAGTCATGCAATGCCCTAAGACTTTGCCACACGTTCTGCACAAAGCAAAGCAAATGCAGCAATTGTGGGACATTGACCAATTTCCCTCTGGATAATTCTAGTGCTTCGCGTAAAAGGAACACCGTTCAGCAGCGCACAGAAAGAACATAAACACAGGTACCCACGGTTTCTAAGTACCACCTTGCCGGCGGAGCTTTCCAGAACCTGTGAGTTCAAGACATGGAGAAAGCGGATATGGACAGGTTCATCAACCGTTTCAAAGCGCGGACTGGCAGGTTGTTTGGTCGATCGCATTCTGGCAATATGTTGGCCACTTCTGGTAGTGAACTTATGTTTAGCGTACATTTTGCTGCTGCGCACATGTAGACAGCCGTGCCCGCGCAATGCTTGGGAGGCAAATGCATATACTCTTGAGACGGACATGGACGACCCAATTCATATGTTTGTGGCAAACACATGCTTGATTGAGGCGAGAGGCATTTTTTGATTGGTTTCAACTGTGTCAGAATTTGCCAACAGTGCTGCAAGCATGGCACGGTTGCTGCGCAACATCGAGCGGCGCAAGCCTGGAAGTGCTGAGCAGCATGTTTGTGCTGTCGCGCAGACTCTTGCGGATTTCAGCACATTCTTGGGGCGACAGCGCTGTGCAAGCGCGTGACAAGTTAGGGGCTTTGGCGCTTCCTCTGAGCAGCGGCAGCAAGAGAGTAAGGGTCTGCCTGGGTGGTTGGGTCTTTTGTCTTACTATTTGGGTTTTTTGTGTGGTAGGAATCTGGTAAAACTTATGCTTTGTGCGTGGTAGGAAAGTCTTGGATTTTGGTGTGGTAGGAAAATCTTGTAAAACCTGGGACAGGAAAGAATGGACAACAATTTGTGAGACTGGTCCACGAACTAGCTCAGGTTACTAATGACCTTTTCTTCTGCCACACTTGCGCTGACCAAAAGGGTTTTTAAAGTTAGGTGTAGCAGTCCTACATTTGAATCAGCTCTGAACACCAGAACTGTCAGCACACGCCTAAGTGCTTGACAAAGCTCCCAGCTACTACTCCCAAAACCATGTCAAACACGGCCACATGTCTGACCGCAGTGGTTGCATTGTTTTGCAATTGAACAATTTCTTACAAACGCTATACAGGGTGGTTGGAAACATTTCATGCTTCCCGGATGTCAGTTGTTTGCATGGCCTCGGCTTGGGGGAGGATAATGAGTCTGGCCGGGGGGGGGAGGGGCAGGGCGGACACCAAATTCAATCTAATTGGTAGACATGAGGCGAATGCTGGCTTATTGTTTGCTCCCTTGCCCAAAGTTTAAAACTTAAACCCAAAGCCTAAGGGTGCGACCATAAGGTGCTTAGCACCAAAAGGTGCATTAATAGGAAGCACCGAGAGGTGTAGGGCCCCGGTCCTTGTTCCTTACGCACCGAAAGGTGCCTTTCTGTTTCTTTCGGGGCGTGGTGCACTTCTTTGACGGCAGGTTGTAGCCTCAGAGGGCATGCGCCTGACAGGTTTCTTGCCTCAAACATGTTTTCAAATGATTGGGATGCCTGACTTTTGCACCGTTCTAATCAGAGCTACTGTGTGGCTACAGTGCAAAGCTTTAGTGAGGGAATATTTGGGTAAGTGCAACCGTTTCATGCTCTTTGCCAGGCAGCAGGGATCATCGGGGTGGGGTAGATGCAGTAGCCCAGCGGCGGTCTGAGTGACGCAGCGCCTCAAATTGCTCGTCCGTCAGGGATGCTGAGAACAAGACAGATGACCCGGAGGCTAGCCTTACCTTGTCCGCTGGCACAGCACGCAATGGCAAGTGATGCCCTGTGACTTTGACCCGGTTGGCATTCTCACAAGGAATGGTGGTGGCTTCTGTACAGTGTTCACCTTGACCTGCCTTTTCACTGCGCTGAGCTGACAAGTTTGCAGAAGAAATGTTCCTGCCGTTACGTGTTTCTTGGACAGCCACCACCTTGAGCGCATTAAATAATCTTGCCTCGTTTGCGTCCACTCCGCATCAGATGTGGCCGCAAGCTTCTCATGCATTGAGGACAGCAGCCCCACATCGTCGCCTTGTCAAAAGCAATGCGCCGCACAGGTCGCATAGGCAATCTGGAAGCTCCGCTGGCACTCTCATCTTCTTCGTACATCAAGCCAGAGTCTGAAACGGATCCCCGAGATTGCTCCACCTCATCGCACTCCAAGTGCGGCCAGATCTCAGACAGCGTCCACACACTGCCATCCTCAGATTGGTTCGCGTTGGAACTCAAGCTGCCTGGCTAGTTGGGCCTTTTGTCTTGCGATTTGTTGTTGTTTTTTTGTGTGGTAGGAATCTGGTAAAACTTATGATTTTTGCGTGGTATGAACATCTTGGATTTTTGTGTGCTAGGAATGTGTGGTAAAACCTGGGATAGGAAAAATTGACAACAATTTGTGAGGCTGGTCCACAAAGTAGCTCAGGTCACTAATGACCTTTTCTTCTGCCACACTTGCGCTGACCAAAAGAGTGTTTAGAGCTAGGTGTAGCGGTCCGTCATTCTAATCAGCTCAAGTCCTTGACAAAGCTCCCAGGACTCCCAAAACCATGTCAAACACGGCCACGTGTCTGACTGCAGCGGTTGCATGCTTTTGCAATGCAATTGAACAATTTCTTACAAAGGCTAAAGGGTGGTCCTGGTTGGAAACATTTCACGCTTCCGGGATATCAGTTGTTTGCGTGGCCTTGGCTTGGTGAAGGATAATGAGTTTGGTGGGGGGGGGGGGGGCGGACACCAAATTCAATCTAATTGGTGGGCATGAGATGAGTGATGGCTTACTGTTTGATTCCTTGCCCAAAGTTAAGCCTTTGAATGACATAACCACCCCTAAAATTTCAACCCAAAGCCTAAGGGTGTGACCATGGGGGTGGCTGCTTCAAGGGATGTTCATGATCACTTTTGGGGGTTGGCTTGGCATGGGTTTATTCTTGGCGCCATGTCTGTCAGAAGGGGTCGAGGACGGCAACTACTGGCCAGGGCCTGCTAACTAGTGCACCGAAAGGTGCTTTAATAAGAAGCACCGAGAGGTGCAGGGCCCCGGTCCTTTGTTCCTTACGCACCGAAAGGTGCCTTATTGTTTCTTTCGGGGCACGGTGCACTTCTTCAATGGCAGGTTGTAGCCTAGAGGGCATGCGCTTGACAGGTTTCTTGCCTCAAACAGGTTTTCAACTTATTTGGATGCCTGACTTTCGCACCGTTCCCCAAATCAGAGCCACTGTGTGGCTACTGCAAAGCCTTAGTGCGACGATAGTTTCCACTGTCGGCGCAAAGACCTGGCATTGTTTACAAATTTGTTCTTGGAATTTTATGCTGGACATCCAAATTCCAACTCCTGGTCATCCAGGAGTTGGTGTCATCAACCAGGACTTGGTATCGCCTGGTGACATGGACGGATATTATTGTTCTTGGATTGGTCTCATGCTGACAGCCAGGACTCCAACTCTTGGTTATCCATGTCATCCCTGTTCCTGCTGTGCCTGGCGGCGCTTGTCGCCACTTGGAAATGTTGGACTTGGATCACTTGAAAGCCCAGTGCGAGAGCCGGAAGCGCCAGCTCAAAGAGTGCGCCAAGACGGTCAAGGCGCAGGCCGGGTTGTGGGGGGGCGTGAGTTGATTGCTTTAGTTCTGATCGACACAGAATTTTCTGACGCATGACCGCGCCCGAGGGGCGAATAGGTGACTGGCAAAAAGACACAAGAAAGTGTTTTTTGGTGTTCGTGCTTTTGGGCCCTTTTTTGTCCGCAACGCTAGGGAGCAAAATGACACAGAAAAGTGTTTTTTCGACCCAATCTCAAAAACAATCTAGAAAACACTTATTTCTTCCAAACAGAAAGCGCAACAACACTTGTTTGATGCAGGTGAAATTTCATCGAGTTTTCTGATGCACGGAGAGCGGGGGTCACGACACCAAAAAATCCGAAAATTAGGTGAAATTTCACCGAGTTTTCTGACGCACGGAGAGCAACTCACGACACCGAATCTTCTGATGCACGGAGAGCGCGGGCTCACAACACCAAATTTTCAGAAAATTAGGTGGAGTTTCACCAAATTGTTTGATGCACGGGAAGCGGGGTCCCGACACCACCAAACACTTGTTGCAGATAATTTGGTGTCGCAACGCCAATGTGTGTGTGTGAACAATTAAATGCCTCCAAAAGAGGAAGAGTTCTTGTCTTCGAGTAAAAGCTCGGCTGGTTCGAGTTTCAGGTATGGTGGCCTCCATCTAGATTCGAAAACGTTGCAAGGTCCAACATGAAGCACACACAGCAAGAGAAACTAAGGGACAAATGGACTTTGCAATACAGATCTGCAGATACACGTGATTGGCGTCCCAAGCCGCTTCACGGAGATTCCACAACCGTCTTCGTTGGCAGTAGGACTGCGGTCTCCCTACTGCCCCCTGCAAGAAAAATGGTTCCTGGGTAGATTAGGAACTCCGCACACACACACAAAAACACACGAAGACACACAGAGACACACAGAGACACACAAAGACGCACACAAACACGCACACACAGAGACACACAGAGACACACAGAGACACACAGCGACACACAGAAACCCACAGAGACACACAGAGACACACAGAGACACACAGAGACACACAGAGACACACAGAGACACACAGACACACACAGAGAGATCGACCAACTTGTTTGACACGATGCTTAAACGAGCGGAAGACAGTTTTGCGGACTGAAATGATGGTGATGCTGAGGGTGTCGACCAATGTAGTCTACAAATGCTTTCGACATCTTCATTTACTCAACGCAAGACGTGTTTCTAGACTAAAAACGATGGTGATAATGGGTGGGTCGCGAGCGCGTCGGACATTTACGTTTAGTCAGTGGAAGGCCCTTTTCTAGACTACAATGATGTGATGCTGGGATCTCTGCAAGCTGCAGAGAAGTTAGAGGTTAGAGAAGTTAGAGCTTACAGGAGTCAGACGGAACAGAAGTTTGGAGGTTAGATAAGTTAGAGGCTACGGAAGTCGGAGTTTAGGGAAGTAGGCTAGATAATGTTCATGGTGGCTTCGTTCGGACATGTAGGTTTAGGCTGAAACGGCGGTGATGCAGATGGTGTCGAGGCATCTACATTTCGTCGACGAAAGGTGTGTATCTGGACTAAATCGGGGGTGATGCTGGGGTTGTCGACCAGCGAACGTGTCGCACGTCTACGCTTGGTCAAGGGAAGCTATTTTTCCCAGACAAAAACGATGGTGATACGGGGGTTTTGCTTCATTTAGTCTACAAACGTGTCACATCCACGCTTAGTCAAGCGAAGACATGTTTCTGGACTGAAACGATGGGGCTGCTGGGCATGTCGACTAACTTAGTGTACAACCGTGTTGGGCTCCCACATCTATCGCGCCCGCGCCCGGTCAAGGGACAACATCTAGAATGATTCTGGGGGTGTCGACCAAGTTGGTGAAACGTGTCCGGTAGACGGAATACTTTTTCTGGACTCGACCGATAGCGATGCTGCGGGTGCTGAACAAGTTAGTCTATGAGCGACAGGGTTAGAGGTCAGAGAAGCTAGGAGAGATTGGAGAAGTTAGGCGTTTCACAGGCTAGAGGGCTAGGAAGAAGCTAGAGGTTAGAGAAGATAGACGCTATGAAAACCTGCCTGGTTGCGGCCCCTCCACCTTAGATATCCAGCCACCTAGAATGCGCCTCACGCCTTTGCGAGAGGATGGCACCTCCCCCCCACCCCCCGCGAAAGAAAAGTTACAGGAATCCAGGGGTGGTTGTACATACCCTTTTTACATACCCCTTGGGCAAATGAACCCAACCGGCCTGCTGATGTTCATACCCCTCTCCCCAAAAGGGGTATATACCCATATAAAGTGGGTTGGAACCCAGGGAAGCCAAGGAGTATGAACAAGGGGTATGTACTGCCTTGACGGAAGCCCTCTGATTGTGAAGCGGCTATGAACCAACAGGCCAACAGTTGAATGCATGGCCATCATTTGCCGAAGCCCTGCAACCTTCAGCGGGGCTCGAAAAAACGTCTGCGAAACCAAACACCTCGCGGCACTCCAGCGCTCGAGCCAAAAGAGTTTCAGCATGGGGCTCCTCTCTATGCTTCAGACGACTTCGGTCGTTTAACCCACGACAAGCGCAGAAATCGGGGACCCAAATCGGCCCCAAACCCCGCGAAGAAGCCGTACCGCGCCTGCTCGTCACCAAACAGCCTTCCCAGGCTTTGCCGAAGTGACCCCAAAGGTCCCTTGGCCTTGGCCAAATGCATGGAAAAGCATCGCCAGTCAACCTTCGTGGGAGGTATTGGCTGGCTGCCTGACTGATCCCAGAAATGAACTGTGCGTTCCACGCACAAACAAACAAACAAACAAGCAAGCCAAGCAAAAAAACAAACAAACCAAACAAACAAGCAAGCAAACGATAACCACAACGACCACGACCACGACGACGATGACGACGACGATGACGACGACGATGACGACGACGATGACGACGACAGACTATGGCAGCGATGACGCTCATAAGGACAACGTTGACGACAATGGCAACAATGACAAACACAGAGGATGGTTCACGGCCGACAGTTTCTGTACCAAAATACTTTCACAACAAGAACAGCAGAAGACAAACAGGGAGGTAATTAAAACACAAGAGGAAGCCAATTTCTCCAGCCACAGAATAGGCACCTGGCGGACAAGACCCAGAAAGTATTAACCCTATGACCCCTTTTTGGTACAAGCCTGCTTTCCTAGGGTAGGAAGGCCACGAAAAAAATACTACCCGCTGATCTTGCTTGCCGAAATCAACTAGATATTTCCTCACATCCAGGTTTGCCCCCTTTGGACAGGTTGTTTCAAGATGGAGTCTGTTAGTCCGAAACCCTTCTGTCAACAGAACCAGTTGCATTCTTTTCCACATGCCTTACACAAATTTCGCAGCGCGGAGGTGGCACTTTGGTCCAAATCGCTTGGGATGCTTGGGCCCCAGGAATCAAAGACAAGGGTCCTCAAAAAGACTGTCGGGTGTCCGATGAAAAGGGGTTGCGACGTACCCATCTCGCAAAAAGCCCTGAGCGTGACTGGAAGGCTGGTGACTTGGCTGATGCATGCCAACACACTTGCATTTCCGAAATGACCATGGATCCTATGAATCACTCGAGCCCAGAGCCACAGTGCCACCATGTCAAATGCCACCGCAGAAATCGATGCTTCAGACCTCCCGCAGCCTGCACCATTGGTATGTTTGTCCCTTCGCAACATGCCAATCTATGTGTTACAAATATTACCAGAAGGTCTTTGTTGTTATTTGGAGAAGGAAACCGGAGAGTGGTCCCATGGATGCCATTTGTCCCCTAGGATCATGATTGAGTGAGGCAAAGCGCAAAGGGCACCCACCCAAAAACGAAGCCCGTTCTCTCCAAAACGCCATGAATTGAGCAAAAGGCTTGGGGATGTCGGATCTTCCTGGAGGCGCTGGAAGCTCTGAAACTTGCATTAGCTCTACGCCGCCAAAAGCGACTTGGCGCCCACTTGCCCAAGCCGAACCCTTTCGGGCCATAAAAACGACCATGGGAAACCAGGAGGAAAAGGTCTGCTTTGGGCAACGGCTTCGCATACTTTGCATAGGCGGTTTCTACGTGGATTGCTGTTCATGGGGGCTGGGAGGGAGGGAGGGAGGGAGACCCAATAAGCCCCAAATGAGGCCTTATTAGGCTTAATAAGGGCATATTTGGGCTCCCTCCCCCTCCCCTCCCTCTCCCCAGCCCCCATGACCTGCGAGTTGCACAGGAAACTCCGCCGGCTCAGGAGCACACACAGCCTGCACGAGCGGTAGCTCTGGAGGTTACATGCGGCGAATGAGCAAAACCGCGTGCTTGTGAGGACACATGCGTCCACCCACAGAATTGGTCCCTTTAACCTGTTCCCTGTGTCTCGCCACAGAATCTTCGGTCGAAAAAAGGTGCCGTGGATCGGAATCAGACCGTAAGAAATGAGAACAACTCGTGCTGTCGCTGTTGGTAAAGGCTGATGAAGAAGAAGCAAGAAGGCAACAAGTTAAAAGGTTGCTTGCTCCCCTGCAAACATGAAAACCCAAAACAACCATAGAAGAATCTCCTTTTGGGAAATGCACGGGGAGTAAACCGTTCGTTCGTAGGGCAAAGGCCACCCAAGGCAGAGCAAATGGGATGCCTTCGCAACCTTCGGTGTTTTTCGCCAGGTCTAAATTGGAAAACCCCTGGATGTGCCAGAGAACGCTCCTGAGCCTTTTGCTTGCTACTAAAAAGTCCCAAAACACATAAAGTCCAGGGACGCAGGGAGAGAGATTAAAATAGAACCCCAAAAGGGGGTCAAAGGAGATATGCCTCCAAGGACACGATTTTGGGGGTTCCATGTGTACAGAGGATAAAGGTTCCATAGTTCCATACTTCGGGCAACCCATTTGGATCCTCAAACAGACCCGGTCCTGCTTGGCACACGCTCCGCGGCTTAACCTTCTTCTGCCCCCGGTCGCGGTCCTGCAGGCTGGGGAAATGTTGTTCTCTGAGGGATTCCTTGGAAGTTCACTAAGGGATTCACTTGTAAAATGGTGTTAATTTTCCCAAACTCACAATCCGCACCACCACCACCACCACCACCACCACCACCACCACCACCACCACCACCACCACCACCACCTGGGTGTTTGCTTTGATGGGGTTAGTATGGAGTGGTTTCCGTTAAAATCGGGGTTCCCCTATTCCGAGAACCCGCATCAACCCGCTTTGCCCTCTCCTCCGCGATAGATCTGCGTCCAGCAGGCTGGTACTTCGCGTTCACCCTTGAGGCGCCGAGTCACAAGCCGATGGGACGCTCCCCACCGCGAGCAACTTTCTGGATTGCCAGCACTTGGTTGCTGTTGACCCCCCTGCAAAAAGTCTAACTTCTTGGGGGTTTAGTGGAAAACCCTGTTATTTCCCAAAAAGTTAACGTCTAAAGATCCAACCCAATAGCAGTCAAGAGCAGGCCTCATGTGAGCTAACAGGAGCCGCAAGCAATGAAAGGTTGTTGCCGCTCTTGCGATTCCTCGCATTTGGGGTAGACTGCTCAGAAACAAGCTGGGATTTGTGATAAGTATACATGCTTGCCCCCTTTTGGGGATGATTGAACAACCAGAGGCCAACACATAGCAGGTGAGCTTGACATATTTTGCTTGCGTTCGCCAAGAGGACACGAGACACATTCCCCGCGAGTTGGTACTGGTCTCGTTTCAACTTGGTTTAAAGCGAAATCTACAGAAACAAGACCCAACGTTTTGGTCTTCCTTGTTGGGTTCAACTTTGGACGCCAACTGTGCAAAGGGGGAAAAACAACTGAAAATCTGAAGCTGAGTTCCTAAAAGCATCTGGAGTGTTGGCAATGGTATTGCGACTGGAAGCTCATCCTTGGACACACCCAACATGCCCAGCCAGAACACTGAACCATAATTTGCCGGAGGTGCCAATGCTCATCCCAAAGCGCGCTAAGACTGAAACCAATGCATCACCATGAACAGTTTATTTGCACGGTTCCGCGGTCGAGACAAATCAGCAACCTGCATTTCACCCTTTGACTGTAGGTTGTCAAGGTTTGTACAAATGCAAGAGCGCCATGTTTCCACAGTGGATCTAATCTGTGTATCGTTTCTGGTGACCCGCACCGGCAATCGTTCATGCGGACGGATGTGAGCTGCCCGTTGCCACGAGTCGATCCGGAATCCGGAAAAGTCCGAGTCTGCAACAGTCATTGGCAATATGATTCATCCAAACAGGCCCTTTCTGACTATGCAACGTCTACTTCTTCCTTTTGCCAGACATAGAAGACCCCCCTTGAAACCAACAAAAAAAAATAACACCATGTTCAGGTGAGTCTCTTTTGGGAAACACATACCCCCTGGATTCCATGGGCGTAGAGACCCAGTCCAGAAGGGGACAAGATGAACAAGCGCCCAATTGGACTTAAAGACTCACAAAGTCCTTCTGTGGCCCCTTTCTTTTGTTTCCTAAAACCCTCAGTGGACCCTCAAATGTTTAAAAAACAAAAAAAACAAAAAACAGCTGTGCCCACAGAGGCCCCGTGCGAACTTGAGCAGGGCTGTGGGGAAAGACCACTTCTGTGATACAACAGAAAGGGCTTCCCAATGACTATTTTCTTCATATAAAGGGGGATTCCCTTGTATCACAGAAGTGGGCAGAAACCCGTTGATCCCACAACCCTGAGCTTGAGCGACTGATGGCCTTTCAGGGAAGCCGAAGCCGTCCCCGGTGCCTGGTGAAGCTCAAGCCTTCGGCGCCTTCCGCGCCCATGGTGGCCGCCGCCCCGTCGTTGCCCTCGCCTCAGCTTTTTTCGGGATGGGAGTCATTCCCACCGAAAAGCTTGGAGAACACGATGGTACCAAAAGGGGCAGGGTACTTAGTAAGTGGGTAGTAACCATGGTTACTAACCCCTTACTAAGTACCCTGCCCCTTTAAGTAGACGGTGTTCACCTGGGTAGATATGGGGATGAATGGGTCTGTGCTTTTTTGAGGGTACCTGGAGAGCATGGGTCTGTTGGGTCTGTGTTTTGTGAGGCTCCCCTTTTGGTTTTGGTGAAGCGAATCTAAGCCGGCGACCTCTTTGGACAAAAACGTGGTGTCGGATCTTTGGCCAGGACAATAAGCCGTGACCTGCCCTGTCGTGCGGCATGCAGCCATTGTGTACGTCCCCAGATACCCTCACATCTGCAAGCAGTCTTGGCCATCAATATGGCAAGGATTCAGACCAGCGAATAGAAAACAACGCAAGTCCCCAAACCTTTTTCTTTTTTGACTAGCCTCCATTCATCGAAGTCACCCTGAAGAACTTCAAGACTCAACCACAAGGACACCACTTTGCCCTGAGTTGCGCGCAACCTGGCCGTATGGCTTCATCTCAGCTTCCGTGCGCATGGAACCGGCTTGGACCAGACTTGTGATTCTGATAGCCCAGCCCATGCCAATTTCACATGGGTGTTTTGCTCAGTCGACTGCCTAAGCCGCAGTACATCCCACCCCAATGTTCTCAATGTTCTTGACGAGAATAAGATGGATTCAGAGCTTGGCAAGTCTTCAGGCCAAACCCAGCCGGGTAAACCTGGTAAATGTAGCAAAGGAATTGGAACCCTTTTCGAGCTCCGCCAATTTTTGTAGGACCGCACCGACAAAACGGGAGGTGCAATCCACCGGCCGCTTCGGCGTCTGATCTGGAGGCCCTGGCTGTA